ATCTGAAGTTAGCTCCTTCAAAATGAAAATTCATCTATGTGTTCTTTTGGAGTTTTTAGTGAGAGGGAAGTGGGGTGGCAGGGAAGGACACACACACACACAGGCAGAAGATGTAAAGCCCATCCCTATTAACCCTGAAGGGATTTTTAGTGCCTGTGGGAGAGCTCAGCCCTCAGTCCCTGCAGCAGGGAGGGCAGGGCACCAGCAGGGATGGAATCCTCAATTCCAGGGGAAGGGATGGACCCCCGTGGCACAGGGATGCCATCCAGGCTCTGCTGCGCCTTCCAGAGAGGCTGACAAGTCACCAGCTGTGCTCAGGCCTTGGCTTTTTGTTAAAGAGCAGCTACAAAAGCCTCATTTTCTCTCTTGCAGCAGCTGCTCCATGGTGCCCTTCAGCACCCCCAAAGCAGGGTGCCCAGGGCTGAGCTGGTGCCACTGGGTGCTGACCCAGCTGGAGATGCTGGACACTGCTCTCCCTCCCAACCATCCACTCCCCAGCAACAATCACTACAAATAAATCAATAAAACGTGCAACACACACCAGACCCTTCCCAGGACAATCAGGAACGGTTTAGGAAAAGGAGTTTAGTTAAAAGCAGAAGGAATTGGACCCAATGTCTCAGATTCTAAAAGAACCTGAGCTGAAAGACCTCATTCCATGGGCACAAAGGGAGCACAGGACCATGGAGGCAGCAGCCACAAACAGCACAGGGTTTGTGCTCCCAGCTTTTCCTGCTATTCTGACAAGTTTCCCTTCTAGGAACAAAAAAAATTCTGTCCCACCCTAGTGACACTGCATTTTTAATTGAATTAAGATATTCATTTGAAGGACGTGAAATTTTCTTTTGACCGTTTAAGATGTTTCATTTGAATTACATGTAAATTTCTTTTGACTGGTTCTCTCTATTAGGGAAGGGGAGGGGAAAGGTAAAAAACCAAAAAAATCAAAATTTTCAACTAAAAAACTCACAGCAATTCTCCCCTGTACCACAGAGGCTTCAATTAAACCACAGCTTAAGTAAACTCAGCAAAGCATTAAGAGTAACAAGTACACAAAATAACCTCCTCTAAAGAGCTTGAATCTTCAAGAACACAAAGAAAACTAACAAAAAATTAAAAGGTCATTGCCATTTGATGAATTTATATCCAAAATTACACAACTCACCTACAATGAGAGAGAAAATCTGCAGTAAAGTGATTAACTAAATTAATTTGCCTCTTCCACGACCTCTTAATCCTCATACCAAGGTTCTTTTTATTAGCATAAACAGGGTAGGAAAGGCAACAAACTGAGTAATTCTAGCACAGGTGTAACAAAATACAGTTTTCAGTGGGCAGTGCCATCTTCAAAGGAATGAGCTTCCATCCACCCTTCCACCCAAAAGTTCCCCAGCACCCGCATCTCATGTCCCTGCCTGTAATTTCCATAAAGGAAACACAAAATTCACTCTCCAATTTCAAGGAACTACCAGGAACATCAAGAACCAGCACTTCAGCCATGAGAGAAGGGGGAAAAAAGATAATATTTACATATTTGATGTCTCTTAAACCAACCAATTCCACAGATACCAAGTTCCAAAGGCAAGGAGAAATCCAGGATGAATCCACCACAGGAACGCCAGGACCAACTTAGCTCTCACTAATTCTGGTTGTGCACACAAAGTTAAAGCTTGCTGTGACATTTTGAGAACTGATTCTGGCTCATGTTGTCCAAAACCTTGGAATGCAAGTGCTTCTGGATGAAAAATGCCATCCCAGGTCCCTCCAGCCCTGTGCTCCAGTGGAATTCCCAGCAGCACTGCAGGATCCGAGCTATGCCATTCCTGTTAGTCAAAGGCATCACTCTGAAACCCAATCCTGTCCAGAGTTACACTGGAATTCTGGCTCAGAACATCACAGGAACCAAAATATTCCAATGTGTCCTGCACTCCTCTGCCACAGGAGAGGGCATTTCAGTGGAGAAGTTCCCTTTCATATGGAAACGTTCTCATTTCCAAGAGGGAGTGGAAAAATAACTGCAAGGGCCTTCGGATCTAAATCCAGTCCCCAGAGCAAAGGTCACTGCAAAAATGTTTTATTCAGCATCAGAACTTTTGGAATTATTTCAAGGAGGAGAGAAAACCCAACAACAACAACAACGGGACTGACATTTTTTTCCCACTGAACTATTTCTTGCTTTTCAAACAGGGTTACAAGGATTTGGTGAACACCAGGGAATTGTGTCTCCCTCCAGCATACAGCAGGTTAAAAAGTGGGGAGAGAAACAAATAAAGGGGAAATCACTATATTGGTGATGGGGTTACAGTTGAACCCAGTGATCTTAGGGACTTTTTTAATTTCAAAGATTCTGGAATTTTATTCCATGGAAATTATGATTCACTTTGCCCACACTGCTTAGGCAGAGCTCTGTACAACACAAAGATGTTTTTGCAATTCTCCTCTCTCCATTTTCCTTTTTTCCCTTCTCCAGAGACATGAGACAATGCCACAGCCAGGTTGGTACGGGGCAGATTTTTACACTGACCTATCATTTCACACCAGGGAAAAACACCTGTATTTCAATCACTATTTAAAGAAAACCTGTAGTTCATTTTAAATTAACAGCAACCCACCATGCAGGCATCACTGAGCTGAAAATATCACCATATTTATTGATCCACATGGCTGCAAGGTGCACTTCAGAAATTACATTCCACCTGCTGCCAAGTCCCTAAGCAGAGGTGCTTTCCTTTCAAGAAGCTCTAGAAAGACCCTGTAAATAAATCTAAGCTGCTGTCCAGCAGGTCCAGAGCACACAGGACTCTCCTTGTTTGAAAGACAATAAAAAATGACCCCAGAGAGTGCATTTAGAGGAGTGGAGTGTGCAGCTCAGTTGTGCTTTGGTGCTGTGCAGGTGGGTGAGGATGAGAGAGGAGCCAAGGATGTCTCTGTGCCCAGACAGGCGCAGCACAGCTCTGCAGCTTTATTTGCATTGCGTGTGCTGATGGAGATGTGGCTCACAGGATTTTCCCTCACTCCTCAGGCCCTGCTCGGCCGGGTGAGGAGGCAGAACAGAAATAACTGTGCAGAAATAACTCTGCCAGAAGGAGTCGCTCTCTTGATGCTGCACCACCAGTTAGTGGTAGAAAAAAAAAAATAATATTTAGCTTTGAGTTTTGCTTCTTTCAGCAAGCCAAGCCTCCTCCAGACAGCAGGGCAGAGCTGGGATAAATTCTTCTCTCTGCGGCCTAAATCTGATTTAGTGACTGCCTTCAACTGAATGGAGCAGCTTTATCAGGCTGCACTCCTGACTTATCTCCCTTATCTACCCTCACTGAGCTCCAGAGTTCGCCTGGAATGGACACACACACACAGAAAGGGAAGAACCAACACACAAAAAGGAACTGCCAGACTGAGCCTGGAGGACGCTTCCGTGCCAAGAGAATGTCTATTGCTGTTAGCAGGGCAGGCAGGAAGAAGGTTCTGGGCTCAGAATAAATTAGGAGAGGTCTAGACAAAGTTAGGAGGGGTCTTAGAACAAAGTAGAAAAGTTGGGACTCACTGAACACAACGGGTGATTTGTGATGCGCATTTTACACACAGTTGTTAGAAAGAAAAACCCTGTCCTTCCTCATAGCTTCCATTCCATTTTACATCAGCAGATCCCAAAGCCCCCCAGGACGCATCAGAATCTTCACTTTGCATGGGGATAAGCAGCTGGCTCGGGATTACAAATTCAGCTGGGGCAGGAACTGTCCCTGTCAAGGTCTCAATCCAGGGCCTTCCATCCTGAGCTGCTTCCCAGAAAATTCAGACTTCAGGCTGGAAAGTTCCCAAATGCACATTCATACCAAGCATCAACACAGCCAAAAATAAGCTTGAAAATTCATAGGAAAGGTCAAGATGGCACATCCAGGACTTCTGCTCCCCAAAGAGCCCATTTCATTGCTCTGGATTGCTCTGGCCCCAGCCACAGCTTGTGAGCACAGAATTAAAAGGCAAAACTATGGGGTAAAGGGAGAAGGAGAACCCATTGCCTCATCAGAGTTCCAAAATTATTTAGATTAACTCTGTGATTAAAAAAAAAGGAAATTTTTGCAGATCTTTATTCAAACTAGCTTCACTGCTCTGAATGCCAAAATAAGTCCACCAGAAATACTGTGACAAATAAAGCTTATTAGGGAGGAGATAGAACAGGCCAGACACAGGCAGGCACAAAAACTGGCTCTAAAATCAATCCACTCCATCATCAGCCCTCTTGTAGCATCTGCTTCAGGGAAAAGGAACCCTTTAACAGTTACTACAGAATAATCTGGGGGAAAACATTTTCTTGCTGGCTTTTCCTTATTTACTGTTCCCCTTCTGGAGCCCTTGTGTGTGTGCTCCGTTCTGAAGCAGCTCTGCCTGGTTTTATTTTCCCTGTCTGAGCCTTGCTGAACTCCAGATTTCAAACCCTTCCATGTCAGTGAGTTCCACAAGGAAGTTTTCTAAGCTCCCCCAAATATACACAATTTTTACAGTGCCACTTCATGCTTTAACAAACTGCTGTTCTCCCCATTTATGTTATTGACCTAAAAACTAGCAAAAGAACCTAAACATGGAACCGAAACTGAGCAACACACAAAGCTGTTCTACATAAAATTGCTCACAATCCCAAACCTGTCAGATTTAATGTTGCATTTTTGCCTTTCTACCCCTCCCTTTCCCCCCACATTTCCACAAAAATATTGCTCTTTTGTTAAAGAACATTAGTGAAGCTGCCAGGCCGCTCAAAGCTTTATCTGTCTCAGTAATCCAGTTGGATCCCATCCCTGGTGAGGAGAGAATGTTCCAGGTGCACACATGGAATATTTGGTCACAATAAAAACAGAATTTCATTTTAAAAATAAACATAAATTTTGTCAAGGTCCCCAAATGGCAGACATCAACAAATAACCAGTGAGAAACAATCTCTGATGATTCAAAGTGGAAAACAACAATTTTGGGATGCTTTTGCAGGAAAATGGGAATTCATCTCCTACCTGTCAATGATCACAGGGTCAGATGGAGTCTCATTTCTGTTGCCACAGCTTTTCTTCTCACAGCACCGACTGCAGAGGGAAAGTAAAGCAAAATTAAAGAACCAGTGGGACAGATGAGAGCCAAGAACCAGCTCAAGGTCTGTCAGAAAACCTTCAGCACTCAGTATATGCCTGGAAGGGTAAAAATTCTGCTTTCCAGAAGGGAAAATTAAGGGAATTGGGTGCCCAAGTCCTGGCTGGTTCAAGTTGGAGTTTGGCACTTAGCTCCCTGTAATCTATTCTGAATTACCCAGCCAAAAATGAACAGCAGTATGGCCACACTCGAGACTGAGGTGATATTCATAAAGGTCTAATAAGTGATTAACAGATGTCATTAACAGGCAGAACCAAATGGGTTATGTGGGGTTAAAAGTCCATCAAAAGGTGTTAGAACTGACTATAAGCAACCTAATGGTTTGGTATATTCCAATAATATTTTTTATATTACTGTATTTTTTTTTATTATTAAATATCTAAGTTTTATAAGGTTACTGAAAATTTCAGCACTCCATGAAAAGCCAGAAACTGAACATATTTAGATGCTACAAAGGATCTGAAGAGATGTTTTTCAGGTTGGCTTTTGCAATTCCTTTGCAATTGCTTCAGTGATAAACCCTTAAGACTAAGTATTAATTCATACACATTCAGTGGTAATATTAATTATAATAAATAATAATAAAAATGTTATAATCAATAGACAGCTCATTATTTCCATTGATATAATCACTGACATGGGTGATGCTCCTGCACACACAGTAGCTGAGTACCAGGAGTTAAACAGACTTTAAAAACAGTCCTTGCTCTGAAATCCTCACTTTTAATAATCTGAAGCGACAGAGAAGATTTAAGCTGTTTTCATGCTCAGGTTTTTGTTCCAGTCAAAGCCAACATGGGACAGGGTGGGTGGACGTACCCAAAAGTTTAAAAAGTCTCTATCAAAAGTCCCACATCCTTCAGAAGTCACCAGATCAGATGCTTTTCTAGAAGGTATTTTCCATACTTTGCAGAGGGTTCTGTTCAAATTTACACACATGGGATGAAGAAATTTTGGTGGGTTTTTGTACAGGGGTGCTGAATGCATCTGCAAAATTCTCAAGCATTCTGAGTGTCAGAGCTTCCCAGCTGGGGAGCAATTCCAAGCACAATAAGAGGTTTTTTTTAAGTAAATAAATAAATACTAAAATAAGAAATAAATAAAATACTTTAATTCATTGAAGGCAGAATAAAATATTAAAGTGGGGATTTTTTTTCTTTATATGCCTAATATTTAATTATAAATACCTAAAATGAGCATTTACACCAAAACCCCTCTTTCAGCTATGAAAAATGCCAACATTTCCTCCAGTTTCCAGGTAGTTCCTGCTCTGGGGCTGGAATTGCCCATCCACATGATCTGGAAGGAGCAGGTCTATTTGAATAACAGCTCTAACTGTTTCAACATTCCTACATTCCCCTTGCCTCAAACCTGCACTTATTCATCGATGCTACTCCTTTTAAAATAAAAGGATACACTAAATATTTAAAAATCCCTGGGGCAGTCCCTGTAGCTGCTGTAAATTGTCATGGCTCCATCGACTTCAGTGCAGCTCTGGTAATTCACACCAGCACACAACATCACTCTCCCTGCCTCTCCCAACTTTATTTTAAGTGCATCTTTTATGGATTTCACTGCCCAACCAGAGTTTAGAAAGAATGGACTATTTTCATACCAGGAGCCAAGACAGGAATGCTTTCTAAAGGAGAAAATTATAATAAATCCCCCGAAAACAGCAGAGAATCCTCCCAAAGGAACATCAGTTTGGGATGTACTTTGACATGTCCAGTATAGCAACACGTGGGAAATAACATTTGGAATAAAATCTTTGCTGCTTTACAGGCCGTTATAATAAAGCAAAAAAAAAAAAAAAATTCTGTAGTGATCCCAGGGATGGTGGCACTTCCTGACAGAGCATTTTAGGATGAATTCTGTGAGGCTGAGCACAATGTGGCTGGGTTCAGAAGAAAATGCATCTTGTTTTATTTCTATTTCCACTATCATTGCAGTTCTGCACTTTGTATTCGTAATATTCAAATATTTTCCCTCTAAAACTGTGGCTTGCAGCTGAAGTTCTCCAAATGTTTCACTGATATCTACGCGCCTATCACAGCTGGGGAAAGATCTTTGTAAGTGATAGACTTTTTCCCCTTTGACCGTGGTATTTTCTGAGCCCAAATATATGAAAAAAAAATCTTGATGAGGGAGAAGAGCCACTTCCAGTGAAGGAATTACTGTTTGCACATAAATCAGAGTGAGACTGAGGATGTTTCAGCCCAACATTATAGCAAAAATACCTCTTAAATCTTTAAATCCCCATTTCCAAGAGTTTCACCCCATACCAAGCAGTAACATTTCCACTTGGTTGGTTTCACAAGTGCTGTCTGTAACAGAATTGACTGGTTCCAATTTCAGTCCAAGCCAAAACCCCCAAACGCTGGTGGTCCAGGATCAAGCCTGCAATATTCTCTTCAAGCAAATTATTGGCATAACTTCACCAACATTTACATTTCTGCCACAGTGTTGGGCTGGGAACACACTTTTAGAGATGCTCATTTGCTTAAGACAAGAATATCAAGGCTTAAGATGATTTTCCATATCTTTTCTTGTTATATTTTCTCTTCTAGTGAGATCTACATGGTGAAAGTGATGGTTTATGTTAAGAATGGTCCAGAAAAAAACTAAAACCAAACCCAGAAAGTTCCCAGGGACAACCCCAGCCCTACAAACTGAGCACCCCAGAAACCTCATACCAAAGCCAAACTTCCATCCTTTCCCCTCCTCGCACTTGACTAAAATGGTTTTAAAATTCATCCCTCACCCCAACACAAAAAAAAAAAAAAAAAAATTAAAAAAAAAATCTGTCTCTAATTTCAAACTCAAATAAGCTCACAGCATGGTGGCCTTTGTTTTGTTTTCTTCTGCCCAACTCCTCCCTGCAATTGCATAACAAAAGTGTCTAAATTCACACCATCTGGCCGATAAAGACGCGGCCCCAGCGGCCGCCTGGCCCAGCTGATTAGAGCTCCCGTCTAGTCTGAGCCTTGTGGCGAAAGTCACAGCTGTGGGGCTCACTCCACTCAATACAACTCTGTTATTAGCCAGCTGTAGACCCTGAGACTACTTCTGTTCGAATTATAATACCTTTTAACCCTCTGAGCATTGAGGGCGTAGGGGGCTGCTGGCAGCAGCATAACAACGAGTTTCCTCTTAGTGGATAATTGGAAGAAAAGGAAGAAGATGGTGGGGGGGGGAGTTATTCCAGGAGAGGAAGGTGTTTTACCTTGATTTCCAACCCTCAGGATGTTTTATTCCACACAAACACACCTAATAGGAACTGTTCCTATTAGGCCATAAGAAGCAAATGGGAAAAAAAAAAAAATCAGATTGGAGATGAATAAATGGAGGCTCGCACTGGAAGCGCTGAGAGCACTAATTATTGAGAGCTGGACTTTCAATGGCTGTGACAGATTGGTGCAGCCGTATCAATATTTAGACAACTTTCCTGCTAAGCAGGCATCTGTCACCGTCTGAGGGAGAGACGGGCACTTTCCGAGGAGCTCGTCTCCGCACAGCAAAAAATATCTTCATGTGGGGTTATGTACAGAAAAATCCCCCCTAAAAAACTCTACCTCCAACCAGGGAGGATTGGAAGAGGAGCAGAAAGACAGACAGACCCTTCTTGTTTTCCTTTTCAGAAGCAGTAGGCATCAATTTCGACAGCAGAGTGGGTACAGTGCATTAAAATTTTATGTACTGTTCCTAATGCAAACTAAACTAGAGGCTTTAAAAATTGATGCTGCCACTTAAGCAGCACACAATGAGGAAGATTTGATTATTGTACTTAAAAGAAATAAAATAAAATGTCAAGTTTAACTAGAGTTGGAGCCATTCCCCTGGCATTACTCAAAGTGATGTGTGTAATGCCTCTTCAGAATACACAGCGTCCTGCTCAGAGATACTTCGGGAAAACACGACATTTAAAATCAAATGTCTTCATTAGGTTACAGAGTGCTTTTGATTCCCTTCACTAATCTGTGTTTTACATGGGAAGGACATCCCTGAGTTGTAATTCTTCCTTGGTTAATCTATCAAGCAGCAGAGCTGAGAATAATCAGAATAATAGCTTAGATTTGTGCAATGCTACCTTAAATCAAGCACAGAGGAGGTTTGCAGGCATCACTGGAGCTCAGAAATATCAAAGTTGAGCAGAGCATTTGATAGCATAAAGGCAGGGAGAGGAAGCAGGGGGAAAGCCCAAATTAATTTCAAATCAAACACGTCCATTTGGATGAGAAGGTGCTGAAATACTTGAACTTCCAAACCAGAGCTGCGCTCTGCGCAGGGAGAGTGGAGGAAAGAAATGGGCTCACTGCTCTTATGTTATCACAAACCACAACCCCATTGCATGAGAAATCAGACTTTTCTTCTCTAATTCTCACTGGTTATAGTGAAACCTTTCAACAGCATGGATGCATATATACATATATATATATAATTATATACACAAGTTCTAAATGTGTCAGAAAGTCCCTTATACACCTTTGATCTGTGCAATTACATCGCCAGACCCTTGTAAACCCGACCCAGTGCAACCCTCAGATGTGATATACATTGTGTTTGGGCATAAATATGAAAATACTGGTCAAAAGTTAATTTACTTAATTAAGGAGAGCTACACACAACAGAGAAACAACGCATTTGTTTCACACTGAACACCTGATTCATATTCTATGAAAAAGTAACAGAATTGTTGACATAATTAAGTACTGAAACTAAGACTTCCCCTTGATAAAAACTCTGTCCAAATAGGCTTCTCTCACTGCTACATTAACTTAAAAAGGCTACTTTAATTAAAAAAACAACAATCAGGTAGCAAGCTGAGGCATTAAAAGAAGCAACATTGAGTCCACCAGCTTAACCCTCTCCCACTGATACAATAAATCACAAACTGGGTATAATAAAGGTCACAAATGGGTTTTGTCTCTTGTTTTATGAACGTTCTATGCACATTTTAGCACATTTTAATACAAGAACATTGACTGTTTGCATTATTATATGTATTGAAAAAAAATTTAATTACCCGAGAACAGGAAAAGTAATAAGTTACCATGGAAGCACGACATACATACATAAGGTACATGTAAGTTCAGACTTATACAAAAGTTATTAAAAACATCCTCAAGTCATTTCACCCTCTAATTTATAAATTTAAATGCTAAAAATAGTGTCCTTTTTTTTGTTGTTTTAATTAAAAAGTAGAAGGCCCCTAAATATTGTTCACATGTAGAGAAAGGAAAGGTTTGAGGGTTTTTTCTTGTGGGGTAGAACTGCCCAAAATTAAAGAACATTAATGATGCCACTTTAATTGAGAAAATGAAAATATTTCACCAAAGGAAATTGCATTAAGAACATACTGCAGTTTCCAGGCAAAAATATATAAATTAAACTTCTCATTCTCATAAGGTGAGCAGAAATTTTATGAGCAATAAGCATATAAATGTCTTGATTTAAACAACACATGCAAAGGCCTACTTTAAACAAAAATAGTGCAGCTGGGGTTGCTGACTCTCCTTCAGGAAAAATTAATAGCAAAAAAATAGGAAACCTGCCCCAAAAATCTGTTTTGAACCCAAGCGAGCATTACCCACATAAAGAGAAAGTCTTCCTACACAAAGACCCTCTCTGAGCCAGCAACAAAATAAACAAACAACAAAATCAAAATCTCCCTGCTTAAAATTTCCTTGGAGAGGCTCTTCCAACATTTTGGGAAGCAAAGCTCACAAATGATGTGATAATCAAGTCATCTTACCTGCACATGACTTCGTGGGTGAGCAGCACTCTGCACATCTCGGGGTTCTTGTTCTGCCCTTCGTAAGTTATGGGCTACAAAAATTAAGAGAAGGGTTAAGCCAGGAGCATTCAGGGTTATTTATTCCTTAGAATCTTCAGATGTGAGGGGAAGGGATTTTACCACCTGCAAACAAACATCTTCCCCTTTATGTGCAGGGAAAACAGCTTTACAGAAATATTGCTACAAAGTGGATAAAAACCAACAGTCCACAGAGGGAGAAAAAAGAGACTTAAGAGCACAATTTTCAACTACTCTCCAAAATAGGTCTGCAATACAGCTGAGCAAGAGATCAAAATGAAACGGAGAAGGAAAAACATGCAAGGAAATGTTGAGCAAACAGGAAAGATGAGGTGGGACAGGACAGCATGGCACAGATCAGCCCTGCTCACCTGCTTGGTGACAGAATCAATGAGCCTCACATAGAGATCCTGTTCTGTCCTGACACCTGGAGCGAGGGAGAACAGGGGTAAATCACATTGCACAGGCACCTTGCCCTGAGAGCAGCAGAACCAACGCGGTCAGCGCCGTGTCGGACACCCTCAGCATCCCAGGCAGTTCTGGTTCCCAAGCCCATCCAAAGCCCAGGGCCCGTCCCTGAGCTGAAGGGGCTCATGCAAGGCAGTTCCAGGGTGTTTTGGACACCCCAGCACCCACAGGCAGACCCTGGCTCGCTGCACAGCCCCAGGAGGGGCCGGGGAAGGGCGCTCACCGTTGCTGTAGAGCAGCTGGAGTTTGTAGTGCGTGCCGTTGTTCGTCTTCTCGTTGCCTTGCTCCTGAAAGGGAATTTGAAAAAAGGAGGGGGGAAAAATCCTTCCAGAACTTACACTTGGCACATTTAAAATGCAAGAGCTGATAATCATGATGGAAGTGACAACAAAGTTGATTAAAATTCCAAGAGGTGAATCCACTGATTGGGATGTATTAACCTTCCGAGTGACCCAGGACAAACTACAAAATACTCCTGACATCTTCTCCTGTAGGAGTTCAAGAACTTCTTTCCCTCTTTTATTTGCCATTATGCTCTCAACTTTTTCAAGGGAATACATTGAGAAGAATTTGTGCATTTCAAATAATTTAATATAAAGCAGACTGACACCAGGCAAACACAATGGCTTTTGATTTTACTGTGATCATTGCTTTTCAATAGTGTTACTTTGAGTCAAAATTGAAATTTATTTCCTGAAGGTTGTGTTACAGGGATATTTCTTATGTCCCTTTTTAATGTAATTTCCTGTAAAATAATTATTTATGATTCACAGTTCAAAAAAATCTTGTTCATGGCTAAGAAAATAAATGAAAAAATGCAAAGTGGTCAAGACATGGAATTAAAATCCAAAAGCAAATGCTTTTCAAGTCCTGCCATTGACTTTGGAGCCTTAGGAAATACATATAACCACACTCAACAATAATCTGACATATTTACAGGTCAGATTCCACTTCTGTTTGGGTACTAATAAAACCTGGCAGATGTGGTAGGTAAAAAAAGCTAAGTGCATTCATCCCCCATGAATTTTATTTATGTTCGTTTTAGTGGGTGAATGAAATTCACGATACAGAGCAGAGGCTTCCAACCCTTTTTAACCACAGCAGCACACACAGGGTTACAGCTCTACCACAGCACCTGAACCTTGACCAAACCATGGTTTTATTTTTTTATAGGTATTAGAAGCTGGCAGCTCAGTGCGGGGAGAAGACCAAAATTGGAGAGGAAAAGAAGAAGAAGAGTAAGGAGCCTTACTTTATCATTTTCTACAAAGTCCACAAAAGCTGTCCTCTCTATTTCCACGGGCTGCCCCTGTCTGTCGTAGAGAGCCAGAACAAAGTGAAAGAAATTGGATTTCCTCAAGTTGGAGGGTGGCTGCTTTTCAAAGTGGGCTCTGGACAAAGCTACTCCGCTGTGGAGGAAACACACGGGATGGGGTGAGGGGGAGAGACAAAGACATTACCAGGTTGTGCAGCAGTAAGGGCAGAACAACAACAGCCAAGGCAGAGCTCGCTCGGACCGTCCCTGCCCTGCAGCCCCGATTTCGGCGTGGCCCCGCTCCCTGCACAGCCCAGGACACGCTGATTTACAGAGGGTTCCGTGCTAAGGCAGCGAGTGTTTTCCTTGCCCCGCTCATTTCCCTGCCTGTCGCCGCTCCTTGCCGAAGCGCTGTGAGTGTCAGAGGGGCTGCGAGGGTTCCCTGCACATCCTGGTCCTGCTCCCTTTGCCTGGAGGAGGAAACGAGCCACCCTAAAAATCATTCCTACGGGCAGGATGTCAACTCGGGGACCCCTCGTTTTGCTCAGACACAACGACTTTGGAGCGGAGCAGCCTCTTCCCTCGGCTGCGAAGTTTGACTTGAACTGATTCCTGTGAATTGGATCTCTGATTTAAACTGAAAGAATTTAGTCTCGGGTTAGCCAGCCCTTGAGAAAATCTTGTCCCTGACTGCAGAAAACGTTGGGATGTTTCCCACGCATTTCCCGGCTTCGAAAGATTCGAATGCTTCTGTTTACCCACGATATCCCCGACTGCAGCTTTATTTCTTTGTGAAATTAGTCGCAGTTCCCTGTCCCTAAAGCCAATTTCTACTTACTGAGAAGAAAATAGGTGAATACGAGCACCTCCAAATTACTTAACAGACAGATTAAGTCTATGTGCCAGACTAGGTAGGAGTTGGACAGCTTTGGGTTTTAGTCCCTAAAACAGATCCACGGCACTGGCAAAAGTATTTGGCTCTTTCAGAGCACTACAGATGTTTCCCGGTGTTTTCCTTGCCAATGAGGTACGGTGTGAAATCACCACATCCGCCACAACCGCACCTAGCCTGGGGATTCCTCTCATTCTGGGGTGGAAAAATTGGGATTTATTGGTTTGTTAAGAATATCTGGGAGAAAAACCTGGCGATGCCAGCAGGCTGCACCTCCACCGCTCCCGTGAATTGGAGCCTTGTCAGGAGCTGCTTCCTTTTACTTTCAGTTTCCTCAAGGATCAACCTCTTCCCCCTCAACCGTATTTATTAAACACTCTATCAACATTCATGAAACTCTGATAACTCCTCCCATGGTGCTTGGAAAACCTTGCTGCCAGATCAGGCCGTGGGTGGGGGCACGGATGAGCTATTTCTAAAACATCTGCTTCATCTGAAGTCCCCTCTGCTGTTTCATGCCTTTCACCTTGCCTCTAATACTAAATAAAATGCTGCTTACTCCTGGAGTTCCCAATTTAGTCTTGCCCGACGCTACTACTTAACTTTTTTTTTTTTTTTTTTTAAGTTATCCAGAGGGGCTGGAAATTTTTTCCAACGGGGAAAAAAATTACCCCAAAGAGTTTTAATCATCTTACCCCTAACGGGAAGAGACAGGGATAACTGTCCTGTGCCCACTCGGCGGGGAAGAGAAAATAAAAAGGAGGCGTAAAAGGGTGAATAACCCGCCCGAACAAGCAGAAGGAGAAGAGCCAGGCCCCAATTTCGGGATGTTCGGAGCCGTTTCAGCCCAGCAGGGACCTCTCGGAGCTCGGCAGGTGCTGCAGGCACGGGATGGCCGCAGGGTGCGGGATGCCCGCGGGGATCCGCTGTGCCCGCGCCCTCCCCTGCCCTGAAACCGCGGTGACCATTTGGGCAATGCACACCGCGAATTAAGCAAAACAAGACGGGCCGGGGGAGCTCGGGTTTGACATCTGCATTGAAGTTAATTCTAACTTGGTCCCCTCTGTTCGGCTGTGTGGCCGAGCAAGCAGGGAGAGTACCCTGGATCGCTGGGAACAACCAATCCAGAGCCCCACGCATCTTCCTGGGGCAGAAAATAAAAGGGTGATCGCGTCTCGCTGTCATCTGAGCCCCGCACTGGGTTTTAGGACTCCTGATGCTCTCCGGTTTTGGAGCGCTGCTGCCTAGCTCTAGCTCCGACCTGCACTTTTTGCTGACTGGAGGAGATCGGGAGGAGGACAGAGAGGAAAAAAATAAATTTAATATCAAGTGCTAACAACGGGGCATAATGAAAAGATTTGCTAAAAAAACCAAAAAAAACCCCAAAAAATAAAAACGAAACAAGCAGAGGTAAAGTGGGAGAGAAATAGTCTCAGTTACCTTTGTGCTGCTACGTTTGCATCCACAACCCCAACGTTTCTGACCCAGGACCTGACGGAATCCATCTCAGAACCTAGAGATTTATCTTTCAGAATTGGTCCTCTTCCTAAAGTATCTTGAATTCCAAACATTTAAAAAGTCTATGCAAACTAGCAACAGTTTCCTTTTGGGAGATAAGGGAGAAGGAAAAAAAAAGCAAAACAAGTCGACGCAGCCTTTGAATCTGACACACAAATCCCAGGAAAATGAAGTTCAGCTTTAAAACCAACTTCTTCTGCTTTTTAACGCTTCGTGTTTTTAACGCCTTCAAACGGGGAAGAAAGTTTTTCCTCTTGCCAAGTGAAAGTTACGCTGATTCAGCCTCGCCGGGTATCATCATCCTTCACACGCACACGAGGGAGCCGCATCCAGAAACCGATCGCCGCTAACGAGGATCACCTGTTCCTCAAACAGACAACGGGGAGAAGGATTGATCTGCCTAATCCAGGAAGAAGGAAGGAAGGAAGGAGGGAAGGAAGGAAGGGGGACAGCCGCGATTCGCGGGGCGATCGCAGCAGCGCCGGGGCCGGAGCGCGGCCGGTCCCGCCCGGCGCTTCCCGCGCGCCATCAATGGCCACAGGGGCGGTGCGGGGGGCGGGGCCCAGCCCATATAAGGATATCTCATTTGCATCTCGCACCGCCATTGGTCGGATGGCGAGGCCGCGCTCCGTCCCCCGCGCGGCTCCCGGCTGGAGGGAGCGCGCGCGGGGCTGTCGCGACCGGGATGTCGCGATCGGGCCATGGGGACGGGTCACGGTCACAGCCCGGCAGCCCCACAGCGAGCCGTGCTGCCCCAGACCGCACAAACCGTGCTAAGGCAGCGGCACCGGGCTGCAAACAGCGCACCCGCCGCGTACCCTGGCACGGCAGAAGCACGGGCAGGGGAACCGCGAGTTTATCGTGATGGGTTTATCGCCACAGCCCCGCAGCTCCACAGCAAACGGCGCTGCCCCAGAACGCACAAACTGTGCTAAAGCTGCGGGACTGGGCTGCAAGGAGCAGCACGGGAACAGCGGTTTATCGTGACGGGTTGTCGCGATAGGTTATGGCCAGGGACCGGCAGCGTCACACCGAACAGCGCTGCCCCAGCCCGCACAGAGTGCGCTGAAAGCGCGGGGCCGGAGCGGGAGGAGCGCGCCCGTCCCGGGACAGGCGGAGCCGGGCACGGGAGCCGCGGGTTCAGCGCCGTGTCCCGGGTTCATTTCGGTGTCCCGGGCTCATCGCCGTGTCCCGGCTCACCGCCGTGTCCCGGGTTCATTTCAGTGTCCCGGGCTCACCGCCGTGTCCTGGGTTCATTTCAGTGTCCCGGGCTCACTGCCGTGTCCCGGGCTCACCGCCGTGTCCCGGGTTCATTTCAGTGTCCCGGGCTCACCGCCGTGTCCCGGGCTCATTTCAGTGTCCCGGGCTCATTTCAGTGTCCCGGGCTCATTTCAGTGTCCCGGGCTCACTGCCGTGTCCCGGGCTCATTTCAGTGTCCCGGGCTCACTGCCGTGTCCCGGGCTCATTTCGGTGTCCCGGGCTCATCACCGTGTCCCGGCAGCCTCACCCGGACCTGTCCTGCCCCGGAGCAGCCAAACTGCGCTGACAGCAGCGAGCTGTGCCCGTCTGACCGCCCTGGCTGCCACAGCCCCACACGGGCAGCGGCCGCTTCGCTCTCAGGCGCGGGATTTGAAATGAAAAATTGCCCAGAGGGAGAGCAATGGGTCTGGGGGAGGGTGTAGACAGAGGCTGCCTGCGGGGCAAGAGCCAGCCCAAGGCTGCCAGGCACCCAGCAGACCCCAAAGTTACACCCTGAGAGCTGTCAGGTCTCACCTTAGAACTTTTTCTAACATCCCATGTAGGCAGCTTTTCCCATTAAAGGAAACCGGAGCTCTGCCCAGCCCGGCCTGCGGTGACCCGAGACCGTACCCACGTCTGCGTTTATTTTAGTTTATTCCTTAAAACTGCCCTGCCTTGGCGATATTTTCCTCCTGGCCCTTTTGTATTCTGATCTGTGTATAGATCTGCCTCTGAAATCTATATAACACCAACGCGAAAACAGATTTCAAGACAATGAATGCAAATCTGTGCTCAGAGACCATCTGCCAGATGAGGGAATCAGATGTTCGGTAGTTAAAGGCACAGCACAAGGATTCAAGGATTTCCTTGACTCATTATGTGCAGCTCCTCTCTTTAACCTGCTTGATTTTTTTTTTTTTTTAACGGGATCGAAGTATAATTTCCATTTCCAAATAAATCGGAACTCCTTCCATCCACGTTCAGCTGCGATTCAAAATGTCACCTATTAAATGCAAGATTATTTTCATGGAATTTTATACAGTTCTCTCCAAAAACAATCTCAAATGAAAATCTTCCCATGAAACTTTCATTAAAATGTATCCTTAATTCAGGCACGATTGAGGGCAAAGCCAGGACTCAGATTTATTCTGTCTACATAAGTGACAGACATGGTATTGGATGAACTAATACATCTCACCCAATCTTTGTTCAAGGAAATTCGCCATGCTAACCCACCTCCCCAAATTGATAAATATGCAGGAAATGATTTTGCCAGGTTAGCAAAAGGCGAGGCTGGCGTTATTTCAACATTAGAGAAAAGCAGCAGCAGTTTGAGGGAGCTAGAGGGTGCAGGTTAATCTTTCAAGATATGATCTTAGCACCTCTGAGATGCAATTTCTCTGTATTAGAAAGCCCAAACAGGGCAAGATTTTTTTTTTTTTAATACTTTAAAAAAGTGAAAAACCAGAGCATTTAAGATAAATATATCGGCGATGGTAAGGCGTATTACAGCGGGGCTTTTTTACCGTTTCTCAATAGGCGTGGATACATTTCCTCGAATAAAAGCCCAAATACACTTTCTGGCAATACCGCTCCGACCCTTCCTACGTTTGTTCCTAACCCCTAGGCAGGGGCGGAAGGGGAGGGGGCGGAATTCCCTCTCGCTGCAACCTTGGCCGGTGCGTTCGCAAGGAGAGAATGCTCCCTGACCACCCGAGCCCCTCTCCCCAGGAGATGAAGCCGAGCCCACCTCCCCAGGAGTGAAAGCCGAGCCCCTCTCCCCAGGAGATGAAGCCGAGCCCACCTCCCCAGGAGATGAAGCCGAGCCCCTCTCCCCAGGAGTGAAAGCCGAGCCCATCCCCGCCAGGTAGGGTCCAGCCCCGGGCCGGGGGCTGCAGCCCCGCGAACAAAGGGGGCTCGTGTGCCCGGCCCCGGGGGACCCCGCTCGCAGGGGGGATCCCTGCGGGTCAGAGGCCAGCAGCGAGGTCAGGGGGAAGCGCTCCCCTCGCCCCAAGCAGCTGCCGCCGCAATTCGGCGCTCGGGGCGCAGATGCGGGAGCATCGTCCCCTCCGGCCCCGTGGGCCGCCCCCTCCCCACCATCTCCAGCGGGGGAGCTGCACCGCTCCGGGCAGGGAAGCGCCTTCGGGGACACAATTTGGTCCCCCAACCAAGTTTCTCGCCTTTAAGATACGCTGCAAAAGCACGGGAGCCCTTGAATACTTTTGAAATTATAGACTGCTGACCTAGACTCCCCGTTTCAAGCCAAAATTGTAGTTAAACCCAGCGAAAAGCCCATCTCTCGGATTCTTCTGATGCAAATTCATTCCGGAAAGAAAAACAAAAACAAAAAAAAAAAAAAAAAAAAAAGAAAGAAAAAAAGCAGTGTTTAAACCCGTGCGATCGGCGATAAATCTCGATTTGCGCTTTAGAGGTTTGCGCAGCTCGGCTCGGGGAGTCGGATCCGCCGGCAGGTAAAGGGCACCGCGGGACTCCGGGAAGGAAAACAGCCCCAAAACAACCCCAAAACAACCCCAAAACAACCCCCGGGAGAGCGCGGGGAGAGTCCAGCAGAGCATGTGCCGAGCCCTAAATACAATCGCAGCTACAAACGGGAGCCGGAGGTTGGGGAAGGGGCTCCGGGGCCAGAGGCGCTGCGGGCGGAGGGAGGGGAAGGGCTCGGCCCGGGCACCCCCCGGGCTCGGGGGTCCCTCCCGGCCCCCCCGAATCCCCCCAGCTCTCCATCCAGCGGGGTTCATTCTGCCGAGCGCTTCGAGCGATTTTCCTCCTCGGACTGAAAGAGAGAGCGCGGGGTGGGGGGTGTGAGAGGCTGGAAAGCAACTGGTTCGGTGAGTGCTGATCATTCCCTCCTGCAGGAAGAGTTATTCCCCTCCGGATTGCCGCACTCGTTTCCACATGCAAGGGTCAAAGTGACAGGTGAGGCAGATTTGACGTGGTAAAGAGAGATGCTCGGCTTTGTTAGCAGGTTTTCAGCAGCGTCGTTTCACACACCGGAGTCAACTTTCGCTCCTCGGCACATCTCAGCAACTCCCAGCAGGAAGAAAGATGGATAGAAGATAATATTTAACCCATTTAAAAGCATAACCTTCAAGTACTATTATTTCCTCTCAGGTTTGAGGGGAGAATGCCAGAAGGGGGAAAAAAAAAAAAAGTGAACTAATGCTAAAGACGGCACTTGGAAGGAAACATTTAATTCTTGTTCCTATTCATTTGTGAGAATTCACCAACCTTCAGGTGCCTCAAGGGAACGAATTGGAAGTTAAAATTATGAGTGTCAGAACGGAGAAGGACAACTAATATATTTTCCTCTTTATCCACTAATCTCACTGGAAGGTTCATTTTTCCAGTACACCTGTACCAGAAAAATAAATGTGCCTTTTAGAAATGTTTTCTTAAGCTGGTAACAGCTTCGAGTTCTGAGTCATGTGTTCAAGCACACATCAATTGCACTTGGGGCAATAAAGTAACGGTATTTACCAAACAAAGAAGTCCCCGAAAAAAACTTTCAAGAGCCGAACATCAGCATAAACAAAATATTTACTTGCATGGGATAGCTTGCAGCTTGCGACAGAAATGTGGCTACAAAAGTCGGGAGCAGGCTGAGTCCTAAGCTGTGGAATGAGGAGCGTGAGGAGGGCAGAGCACTGCAGAGAGAACCAGAGCAGAAAATTGCTCCAGCTGATGCAAGACTACTCTGGATTTACACGACTCTCCATGTAACTAAAATAAAAACATACAAAATGAAAAAATGCTTTTTAACAGGGGAGGTTTAAAGTGGTTCAGGTGGGAGCAACTA